AAAAATTATATAAAACGTAGTGCACTTAAAAATTCCCATCAATTAAATTCTATAAGTACTTATAAAATACATTCAATATTATCTGAAATTAAAGCCACCGAAATTAAATTCCCCCAAAAAATTAGCAGATACAAGATAAAAACAAAAACAGTCACGGTTGCATTCACGTTCTATGACTCTGGATGAATTATCGTCGTTCTCGTTTATATAATTTCGACTACACACATTTAATTAATTGGCGCTACTAATTATGCAAACTCAATTGGTGTGAATAAAAGTTTTCAAGTGCTTTCAAAGTTTCAACGAATTCTTGACGAACGGTACACCGTGTTCATGCTAATGCGCTTTAAAAATGTAAAACATGTTTTTCCAGAGAGCTGCAGAAAAGTTATTTTCGACGGCGGCGCCCAGCAGAAGTGGAAAGATGGTGCCATGGAGCATTAAAACAATTAAATTTTAAAATTAGAATCGATGTATAAAAGTGCCGTTTAAAAGTCGTAGACTTTAAAAGTCGGGTCAAATGAATTTTTCAACGTTTTCAATTTTATCAACACGTTACAGTTAGTACGGTTAACTTTACACTAATTGTGTCAACAAATATTATCAGACGACATTATTATAGCAAAAAAAATGTGTGGTTTAAGCGGTTCAGTATAGCATTCTAGTACAAATCATAAGCACACGTGTTCACAAATGTAAATAATACGCATTAATCTCATTAACAACCAATGTTTCAACATTGACCATTACCGAGTAAATATTTTACAAGTGCAGTAATGTGAACTGCATTATAATCTCTTATCTTTCGAGTTAAATCTACTAATAATTTCAGTGTCGTTAAACTATTATTTGCACTGTGTGTAACACAGATTACATAAAAGTATAGTAAAGTTTAGTGGAGTCGTAGTTCACGAGAATTAATTCAATAATTAAAGTTATGAATTAATTACTTGAGAACCAATAAACTTATACAAGTGCTTCCTTCTGATATTTGTTAAGCATTAAACTCGGTATCTTACTATGTAAACACTTTATTGATAACTGTTTTATATCAAAATATATGAGCTATATCATGTATTTATACAAATTTCAACTTTAATTGTTTATAACTTTTTGTAGAAACATGCAATCGACATAATTTAAACTCGATTGAATTTGAAATATAATTATTGACCTATTTCTTCAAGAATTATAAAGAAAACTTCCATAGTTTTTGAGTAATTCACTAAAAGCTTTGGATTTTGTTGAATTACCTATGTACAATAATTTATTCCAATTCAATAAAAATACAACTTTATCATGGTCAAACAAAATTCAACAAATATTCACAGCCATTGTTAATGGCACGCTTCAAAAAATATGTTCTATTGGTCTATTCCTATTGATCACCATCCACGGAAATGCAAATGTCCTGTTAAAGCTTTCCACGCACATTATGTGCACATGCACTGCTCACGTATGTGTGTAAACCGGAAAAACAGACGATAAATTAAAATAAACACATTATCGCCCCGACATTGGCCCGCTGGCGTGTTTACGATTTATCGAAAAACTCGAGGCACTTGACACCTCGATCAGTTTTTTTTTTAAATTTAGAAGTAGAAGCCCGAGTATGGCGAGGATGCGATTGGATTAATTGTGCGCGCACACGCACCGCATGTAGGCAGTAGACAGGCAGGCGTTCATTGCACTATTTAACAATTCAATTTGCATTCGATACGTCGTGCGGAGTACATGTGTACAATGCGCAGAGCGTTTAATGACATTTGGAATCACTCTAGAGGCGCATAAATTTACGGAGAACACGCTGATTCATATTATTGACGACCCGATGCACGTATTTGAATAACAAATACGATTATATTGTGTTAAGTGTAGAAAATCGTTTCTTTAAACACTATCCTAGTTAAAGAAAAAAACAAAAACAACAAAAAGTGTGTTTGCACGTGTGCAAAATTTAAAAAAACACAAGTTAACGTCACAGAAACTCAACATTTGCATTGGTTTAGTTTGAAAACTGCGTGTGATGAATACGTACCGCGTAATACCTAGTCGTATGCGTGGGGTATTGTGTGCTAGTCTAATTTTATATCCCGTTCTTTAAACCCGCGCTCTGCCCGAGTTCGCTTTGCTTGTATTCTGCATGTGGTGCGCTCGCACTACTCGTGCCGAATTTAAACACATCTATCGCGAGCTTAAGCAAACACTTTGCTCACAGAACACGAACACCCATCACTTCGCACAACTTCACTTCAATCAACTGTGCGTCCGAATATTACACTGTCGACTATCTTGATTATTGTGCACTGGTTGCCCATTTAGGAACTGATTAATAAATGCAACACGTTTCGCAAGTGATAAGAGAAAACAAAACGAATTTTTTTATCACAATGTGATTGCAATAAAATATATACTTTTCCTGTCACTCCACACATGCGCAAATTTATATGAATAAGTGAATCATTGTTTTTTAGATATCTAGAGATAATAGCCTAATAATATTTCCTAGTTTGGTCTAAATACACAATTAAAGTATTGTTCACGTGTTTTTAGCTGTAAATCGTAAATGCAACCAACCATCTTAAATGCAATAAACAACCGATTAAATTTGAAACACGTTGCTATTTCTGAATCATAGCTGCGGTAATTAAAATGCAGTAATTATCCCCACTTGGAGTATATTCTATTGAAATTAATACTGACACATCAAAAACAATATCAACGTAAATTTGCATTGTAGACAAAAATCAATGCTTAAATACACAAAATGCCTAAAAGTATTAAAATAGTAATAGAAAAAAGTTAAACAATGAAATAAAATGAGTGTTTCAATTGATAAATTGATACCACTCGGAATAATTCGATTTTACATTGAAATGCAATCATTGCAATTAGCAACATTCGTCATTCTCTATCCATACTTCCAGTAGGAAGATATATTTAGCAATAAATTGCTGTTGTATGGCACGGTTGTTGTTTTCGTTGCGGGAAACGCACGATCACATAGCCATATACAACAATGGCGCAAATAACAGCTGTTTCGTGTAATGTGAAATGCAATACAGCACCCGCACGACACGCCAGGTTCGAATGTGAAGGACGAATGCCTTCGGTCGATTCCAATCCTCAAACGTTCTCCAAACTACACGAATCAACACATAATACTCAAGTAAATTCTTCAAATGATGAAAGAAAATACCAGCACCTAGTTCAACAACTCACTCGTAAACTGACCAATAACAAGAAAACAAAAAACAACAACACATCACGTTCAACTTATTAATCAACAGTACAAGTATAATGTTTGTGTACTCACATTAGTGCGTATGCGTCGAAACGAGGCTCAAATAATAAAATCCATTATGCTCATGATGTGATAGGAACCATTTGCAATTCCTTGGTGTATGTTGTCGGCGTTAATTAGTTCTGCTACATTCGGTTTCAATCTTGAAAAGGCTGGAAAAAGCAAACAGAAACAAAACAAATGAATCATCGCCCAAAAAAGCGCAGGTATTTTTACTGTTATGCTAAAAATTTCGATTTAGACAAATAACAATTATAATTAACCACGCAGATCACACAAAATAACATTGAAATAAACAATTAATTTAACTAGTCGCACAAAACTTATAATTACGTGTCTGAAACAGGCTGTGTCGAGTTCTGTCCGAGTTATTAATTAATTATTCGAAAACAAAACACGCTACAATAAATAAACTTGCATATATCGATTCTGTATGAAATTCTACTAATATAGATTGATCTATGCTTGTATTACAACAACTTTTCAATTAGAATAATGGCAAAGTAAGTTACGTGCTAGTTGTGTATGCAGCTTGCATCAAGGATGATCAAGTGCACTATAATAGCTCTCACTTCTTGTTCTTACACACACATTGCTACTATATGTAAACTGTGTGAGTATATTTTCATAATATAACATGCACTGTATGCCAACATCCTTTCTGTATCGCTCCACGTTAGATTAGATTAGCAGTACACTTTCAATCATTCACTGTCACCAAATCAATGTCACAACTCGTTAAATACCATCATAAAGTCATCAAAGACAACAAGAAGACAATGGTTGATATTTCAAGCTAAAGAGTAGGTAATCTAACCTTCAATTTCTTACACCTTTTAAGACTTTCAACACCTTGCACACACTCAAACACTTTCACACCAACTACAAACGGCAAACATGAATATTCAGATCAACAACTAGATGTAAATGAACAATAGGAGTATTTACGGTAGTTAACGCTGACGTTCAACTGTTTTTTTGTCTTCTCTGCATGCGTTCCGTTGTTTGTCCCACAAGGGTCGCGCACTCCGGATTGATTTGCAATTTAAGCCACTAGTGCAGTTTCCGAATTTCAAGCCGCCTCACGTGTGGCGATAACGTACGCGAGGATTACGCGGCGATCGCGATCATCACCGTTACGCGACGATTATTTACGTAATTAACTCTTTCGGTGCGCTGGCGCGAAGATCGGGACGCGGTGCTAGCTGCGGAGTTGGTTTTTGCGTTGTGCAACGCGTCTCCTGAGGCGCAGGAGGAGCTCCGCCGACGGGCCGGACACGGCAGGAACAACAACACAACACTTCACGGCTGTTCGCGACGGAGGGCAGCGGCAACTGACACAACGAAACGGACGCGACCGACGCAAATCGCCGAATGCGGCGAGCCGTCGACTGCAATCCGATCGTTATGGATCGTGACTCATCGGGGCAGAGCGGGGACGATTCTTGCGATTCTTTTGCTTCCAACAATTGTTAAATTCAAGAAATGCGTTTTGCAACAACTAAAATCCTAGTACTACTCTTTGTATTTATTTTATTTATAGAAATAAAAATTATTTTTATTTTACTTAGAAAAATTGTGAGTAATATAGGCAACCAAACATACAGCAAATCTTTCATATAATCGTTCATCAACCTCAAGCACTATAAATGCCGCTTTATGCGAAATAAAATAACTTTAAATATCAATGAACACATTATAATCATTATTTACGTGTATTTCATATGAACAGTACGAAATCACCACAAAAACACATACTCCAATTGTTGTACAATCCAAATAAAACCGAAAATTACGTACAATCGCTACCAGTACATGATTTAAATTTAAATGCGCCTTAATTATTTTTAGTCTCTTGCACTTATTGTAATCAATCTCAGTGAACCGTGTGTGAATGTCCAAAAGACCCCGACAAACATTCAAACAAAAAAAAGTACGTAAAACAAATAACAAACAATTGAACTAATTAATACTCCCGACTTAATTGTATTTATTTTGGTATCGACGGCCGCTGCTCCAGCAACTCACTTCCACATCTGCTTGAGCGCCTTGCGTCTCGACAGTTTCTTGCTCACATATGATGCTAGAGTCAACGCAGCCAAGACCATCACAATCAACCAATGATCAAAGTCCTCCTTGAGAACATCGAAACTCTTCGACGGCGTCACCCTGGTATAGAACAGATCCATTCCCCAGACGACCACCAGACTAGTACTCTCCAGCTTGGCAGGAGACACCTGTATACCAGTAATCCTTCCTAAAGTTTGATTATAGTTTATCATGTTTTCCGTCTGCACGGGCAACTCTGGCATGTAGGGGATGGTACCTTCCTCAGGATTGGAGGGCATATGTGGTCCACGCGGTTCGAGGAAAGCCCAGGGCATTTCTAACACAGCCCCAGATGACATACCGATAAGAATGTGTTTGTTGGTGATGCCGCGTTCGGTTTGGGTGGCTAGCATTGTCACCGGATTGATAGGTAAGATGTACGAGAGTGTTTCTGGATGTGGAAGTTGACTCAACGCGTGCGAACTGAAATGAGTGCTATTGCTCTGACGTGCTCCTTCGTAGAGTTCCACTGATGTGACTTCATAGCGTCTGTAACGTTCGCTGAAGTACGAATACACCAGCCAGTTTTCTGAATGCACCATCTGCACTGGACCATTGGCACGTTTATGATGCGCCGAATAAGTAATCAAACCTGTAACGCCATCAACAAGATACACGCTCAATACATGTCGATGCATAACATCGGGGGCCACAGTTGCCACAGCTATCAAATTCGGATTTACGTATTTGTAGAATACTGATCTATCCGCTAGCACCCTTCCTTGTGAATGCACGCGTTCGTTCGCAGGTCGCACCGCAATCGCCGTCAGCGTTGAACCAGATAAGTTAAGTTGCCATGTCCTCGTCGCTCGCAACGTATTCTCATCGGAATAATGCAAGGCGTATCCTTGTAGAATCGATTTATCAAAGTCTGCATTAAACATGAACGTCGACGCCGCATGCTTCACAACCATTTCCCTACCAATAGGTGGATAAACGTGTAATTCGTCGTTGTCGGCTAGTAATACGATTGATTTTAAATGCGTTTTATCTTCGTAGGGCAACAGCATGGCCTGTTTAAGTTTATATTTTAATTGCGTTTGTTCCTGGAGAGTTTTACCAGTGATCGGATCGAATGAATATAGAACTGCGCGGTCGCTTCCCGGAAGCTTACCAATTAGCGTCATTTGCGCCGAGTGCGGTGCGTAACGCGCAGTGCGTTGCTGATGCAACACGTACATGAGACCGCTGGCGCTCCCCAGTGAGTGGAACGGTTCGATGCCGGCCAAATGATGTGACCAAACAATCTCACCGGTGATCGTGTCGATTGCGTAGAGTTTACCGACTCTTGTTGCAAGGATGATCAACTTGTGCAGACCGAAGACATCGCGTACCAATCCACTGTTACTGCTTGCTTGTGTGCCGTCGAAATAGGTTGATACTTGACGCATTTGACTTGTGATTCTCTTGATAAACATGCTTACGATATCGCTGGCAGCTTCGGTGAATTCACGCTCAATCGACGCTTCCAATTCTGATAGGGGAAGTTCAACAAACTCGGCGACTAGAACATTGCTGAGAGCTTCCTCGCGCTGCCATTGCACTTTTCCCGATGGTAACTGAAGGAGACCAATGGTGTCGTCGTTGGTTGTAAAGAGGACTCTACAATTCGCTCCTCGACATATCCCAGTGACCATTTTCGGATGAACTTCGCTTTTTAGTTCCAATGCTGTCACGGTATTCTCGTTGGTGTCTATGTCCATGCCCTTCAATTGCATCGCCTGGGTTTTAACATCATACTCAAACTGCATGAGCAGGTTCTGATCGCCGTTGGTGACACTAATAACGCTAGATTCTAGTGAATAAGGCAACGTTTTCAGTTCCGCGCCGAGCACCACCAGCCGGTGTACATCGTTGCGTCGGATCAGCACGGCCGGCTCGGAATGTTGGATCTCGTGGATTTGCACCGTCCCGCTCACATCGCCGATAAAGTTACTTAATAAATTATTTCTTACTTTAGATAAGTCACCAGCCAAGTCAATAAAATACAAGTTCGCATTGCTGGAAGTCGACGACAAGCACGCCCAGACTGTATTAGCAATGGCACAGTTTGACAAGTCCACTACCCATGGTGTTGAGATCCTGGATGTTGTTCCCTTGTTCAGTCCGGTTTTCAAGTCGTACAGCGTGACTTCGAGATGTGAATTAACCACCGGTATTAAATGAATAAGCTGATTTTTCGATACGATCCACCTGCTGTTCGAGCGCTCGGTGGTTAAACTCCATTCTGATAGAAGTGTGCCTGCATTCAGGTCCCAGGTGCGAATGTAGTAGGTATTATTACCGCCCGACACCGTCAGCACCTCGGTGTCGACCTGCAGGAATTCAATGCGATGTGTTTCGGGTGATTCCAGCAACTGCCGCCACACAATCTGACCGTTCTTGAGGTTGATCGAAGCTAGAGCATTCTCCTCGGTCGCAATCACAACGCGCTTCACAGAATCAAAGCCTGCGAACCGCAACCGGCCAATAAACGTCTTCTTCCAGTCGAACGAGCCGATTTGGTCTTCGTATAAGCATTGCGATAGTTGCACTATTGTTAGTAATAATATAAAAGTATTAAATATCGATTTAATTATGGCCATTTCTGCTGTATCACATCGTTACTGTACTGAACATAACCTATCACTGCGGCGAGCTATCGTCGGACTCGACGTGCTCCCTCACTCTATCAGTGAGCACCGCGCACGAATCTTTATCTTTGTTTGCCAACTTCGTGGCAGGGCGCATCAGCATGATATAAAGCAGCGACCACTTTCGTAAATATACAGAACTAATCTCTATCTAGACTACAGTTTCGTTTGAATTTTAGTTTTATCAAACCGAGAAAGTATTTCAGAATAGAAAACACACACGTACTATGGTATTTTTAACATTCCTATGAGAAAATATGATATAGAAACTGACCCTTTACAGAGTGTCCCTATCTGCCTAACAAAATCTGCATTTTTCTCCTTGAACAGGAGATACCTTTGACTGAGGGCCTTTGTTTTGGGTTTCTTTTTGTTATATAACTATTTGATAAACTTTATAACACAAGTACATTCTTTTCACATCTTAAACCTGCAGAATGTGCTCTGTGTCATTTTAAACATAAAGCAATTAGATTAGAGATCTTTTTACATCATTCGCACCTTTTTAATTTTGAAACCCTCACAGTACTCTACAATGCTCCCTTATCCTTTTAAAAAGTATGTAATTTGATGCTACAGAGGATTCTGAGCATTCTAAACAAGGTTTTCTAAATTTCAGAATGAGTACTTATCATTTTGGGGATTTCCTGTTGGTTTGGGGAATGCAAACACTTACAAAATCGATATTAATCATTTAATATCAGTTTAGAATACATATCACATAGGATAATTATGCATAATCATATATAAAAATTGTACAATACCAATCTTATACTCTTGCGATGCGTTATCATCGCCACTCGCCGTCGTTACAAATTAATACATAATATAAAAAGCTACAGCTAGAATTCCTTATTTATGGACAGATCATATGATACATAGTCAAAGTCATGTTTATAGAATATCTTATATGAAAATTCGTTTCGTTTACATTCCTCCCCTAAAATAACGTTCAATAAATATTTCATACTTATTCGCTCACTAACTAATTAAAACCTCGCTTAATTAAAAGAAAACCTATATAGACACAAAGTTTACAATGTGAAATTGCATCTGAAAGAAGGTGTGTATCAGTAAAGAAGTAAATATTGCTATGTTGAGATTATCGTCCAGTAACAAATCTTTACACAAAAAAGAGACCTTAGAAAGCAAGTAGAGTAATTGAAACGAACACGTTTCGGCGTATTTCGTTATCATCTTACGTAAACTATATAAAATCAGCGTATGCGTTACATTCTACACGTACTTTTACGATTTTATTTGACATACTTTTGGCAGTGCTTAGCATGGCATACAAAAATGTACAAAGTATTAACTAACGTCAGCTCCCTCATCACTTACACTTAATTAATGCATCGGAGTAAATAGTTTCAAGTACGTCTTTCGTCGTGATATGCGCGTGTAATAAATAAATACCTCAAATTCGTGAATTATTTGAAGGTCCGTTGATTATTCGAATGTGATATGTACAAATAGTTGCTATATGTACACAATGTTCTTGTCTGGGAAGTATAAAAAGCAAGAGTGGTCGAAAAATTCCTCGAAAAGTACAGATTACAAATACGGTCAACATGCATAGAAAAGACAATGGGCTTCGATACATTAGACTTCGTTGAAAAATACGTTTAAGGCGTTGGGTAATTGTTTAGCATCAAGCTTGGCGATTATAATTTCATCTTCATCATCATGATCCACTCCATAAAATTCGTAAACGATTCAAACAACGACTTTTCCTAAACAAATTCGACTCCGCTCTGCACTGGATTCTTTTGCTTCGCTATGAAAACGTCGATAAACGCGTTTATGTGGCACTTATCTAATAAATAAATTTGGTTTATCAATGACTAATAATAGAAACACGCAGACGCGTGCTTATTTACATGGATTTCAAGATCTCCCCGATCGCCTCGGCGACGTGAGCAAACGTTGGTCGACTCTGTGGATCTACAGCTAAACAGGTCTCCTGGAGCTTTAAGAGATCCTCAGGAGTGTCCTTGTGGAACTTCCACTCTAACGATTTCTCTTTCAACTTTGTTAGGAAACTATTGTCGTTCATTTTGGGGAAGGGAAGTTCTCCTTTGTTGAAAACTTCGCCGATAACGACACCGAAAGAATAAACATCACTTTTCGTTGAGTTTTCATCCTCGTAGACAGCTTCATATGGCATCCATCGTAGCGGTATGATGTGATTAGCATGCTTACAATACTCCTGACTGTAAGGATCTCGCGTAAGTCGCGGTAAACCAACTTTAACCAATAGTTTTGACGTGATGAGACAGTTACGTGCGGCCAAATCGCGGTGAATCAATCGATGATTGGATAGGAAGTCCATTGCGGTGGCTATCTGATGAAGAGTAGCAATGTTCTGCACTGGCGTCAAACTGGGCGGATTGTCGTTCTGTGTCGCCACAAGGAATTGTTTCAAGTCGCCCCAATCAGTATATTCGAGAATCATAAAATGTGGTTCTTGCTCTCGGCACAATCCGATCAGTTTAGTCACATTGCGATGACTAAATTTCGAGAACATATCGATTTCTCGTTTAAATTCAGCCAAACTGTTCTCGTCCTTTGTGTGTTTCAGCGATTTTACCATCACAATGATATCCTTATCATCCTTTTCCTTGTCTTTGTTGTCATCGGGGTTTGAATTGCGCTTTTCACCGGCAACAGAGCTCTTTAAAACTTTAGCAGTCATTATGTCGCCGAATTCTCCTCGTCCAATTAGTTTCGTCTCCTTTAGATTAGATCTAGAATATGCGATTTTATCGTAACTGGACTTTGACTTTTTCGAGTGCCCGGAACTTTGCGAGTGCGTCGTTTCAGCACCGTCGCTCTTTTGTCCCTCTTTGTGCGCGTCTCCATTTTCAAGCTTTGAAGGTCCTGCAATATGGCCGTTGGCAGTGTCCTTCAATTCTGTAGGATCAGCTTCACCATTTTCAGTTTTTGCTGTTACAAAAACACAAAATTTAATACACATAGTTAAAAAGTTTTGGAAATGAACTTACCGTCCGTTATTGGTAATTTTCTCGCCTTCCTTCGATATCTGCACCACACCATAAGTCCCACCACCAGTATAATATATGCGGCGGCCACTGACATCGTGATAAGCACCGCCTTCGTGACAGTAGAGCCTTCGGCATTCAGATTGTTCGGGAAGAAACCGTCTCTGGCTGCAAAATACAAGTGTGTGTCACGCAACGCGCTCCCAAGAAATAATCCAACGCTTTTTTACTCACGGTGAACAATCAACCTGACTTCCTTGCGATTCAAGCCGGCGCTGCTGCCGGCTGTGCATCCGTAATTGTTCTCATCCTCTTTGCGCACATCTTTTATCTGCAGTGTACCGTTGGCGAGCACCTCAAATCTAAAAACAACACATTGTTACTAACCGTGCGATTGAACCAAAGAAATTGACGAACCGTGACGTATTGAAATCGTTCATTTTTAGATTCTTGTCCCATTGTATCGTGGGTTTCGGATCGCCCTCAACGACGCAGTCTATCATCACCGACGCACCTTCGTGCGCTTCGGTCGGATTCTTTGGCAGAATGCTGAATTTGGGCGCAACTGCAAGAAACAATTCAATTTTTATAGTGAATGTCAATATTAGTGGCTACCACAGTATCAACTTACCCACTACATCAATGTCAACTGTAACATTTATAGTTCCCTGGCTATTACTGGCTGCACAGAGGTATTTCCCTTGTCGTCGCTTTGCACTCCGTTGAAATGAAGCGTGCCGTTCATATCCGTGATATGATTTGGTAAACTCTGTGTTCCCAACTTTTCCCAATGCACCAATGGTGGAGGCGTGCCTTGAGCTTTGCAATGCATCTTTGCCATGCTATTCAATTCCAATTTTTTATTTACGGGTGCTGGGGCAAATTTTAATTGCTCTGAAAACAATTTAAGCCATTTTATAAAAGAAATCTTCTTTTGATGGTTTTACAAATACTATTACTTCCTTAAACGTGCTTATAATAAGACTATTATATGTTGTTTACATACCTATGACAGAAATAGTTGCTGGTTTAGAAATAACAGTCTCGAAACCAGTCGTGTGAACCTCACAATTGTACTCGCCGCGATCCGAAGTCTTCGTCGCTGTGAGAATCAGAGTACCGTTGTGCTTAAAGGTCCGCAGTCGCTGATGGTTCGCGCTTTCATTCTCATAGTCATGCCTTATCGTTTTGCCATCTTTGCGCCATTTTATTGTCGTATAATCCGGCGACTTTGCATCAACATGGCAGGTTAACGTAGACATTTCGTTTTCTTCGACTGTTAAACTCTCCGGATGCGATATAATCACTGCTTTCGTCGTAACAATCAACTCGAAGCCTTTGTCTGTCTTTCCGGCGATATTCTCAGCAACGCACGTGTACGTTCCAGCGAATTCCGGCTTGACTTTTTCAAATATCAATCGCCCGTCATCGTCCACCTTCACATCACCACTATCCGAGACCGTGTGCCCATTGGGATTCAACCAAAACTTTTTGGCCCGTGGGCGACTATTGGGTTCCAAGCAAGTCTGCTGAAACATGGTATCCTCGCCAATGATAACCACCCCATTGGGCGGCAACGCCGGTTCAAAACTACTCTCGGATAACTCGTGCAGATCTGCAACGAGAACACGATAAACGTTAATTCGCTTGTTTTATGTTACGCTTGGATTAAATGTGCTGGAGACTTACGTGCAATGTGTAATTCGGCGGTGTAACTTTGAGGCACTTCAGTTGATTCACCTTTGACGCCGATGCAATTATACAAACCACGGTCTGAGTCTCGCACGTCCGTAATTTCCAGGGTTCCATTCGCATGAACCTTAATTCTGAAAGTTGGTTAAATTTAGTAGCGCCACCATCTTGAAAATGTCTCAAATCCAACCAACCTGTTATCACTCTCCAAAGGACCCGAATCTTTGAAATACCACTCGATAACGTCAGCCTTTTGATAGGTGCAGTCGAAGAAGGCGGTGCCGCCTTTCTTCACCAGTTGATTTCTGGGCACCACCTGTATCAGCGCCGTCTGATCGCTGGCCACGGCAAGAGCGAAATTCTTTGTACTGTGCACGGTGCCGGCCTCATTCTGCGCGGTGCAGCGATAAATTCCATTCACCGTCGAGTTCACGTTCTTTATGTGCAGGCGCTTCTTCTTAATCTCAAAGTGCTCTGACTTTGTCAGTCGATAAGCATTTCTGAAGATATACACAAAGAAAAAAAAATCTAATTATACATAGACTCGTTAAATACCTACACATCAAAACTAGGATTCGATTTGGTGATTTCGTTTAGATTACTGATTCTACACGGAGATAAACTTAAAGTGCGCAAAATACCTTAACCACTCGTAGTGCACGGCTCCGGAAGCTTCGTCGTGACACCGCAGAATCACCTCACCTCCTGCGGTTATGTAGGAAGCAGATTCGGGTGATTGCAGCTGCACTGATGCTTCTTCAATCCCTGCAAGAAAAAAGAAATACCACATGAAATGAGTAATTACGCAAGATTAACAGCGAGCACGAGCATAAAATCGGATATTATACGGTGTAGCTTCGTTTTATGTTCGTTGCATCTTTAAATGAATGTACAGTCACATTCTTTAAAGATAAACCAGTTCTCATAAGATTTATATTCCTTTTATATGAAGAATGCTACTTTTATAGCGTATATATAGGTTTTAAATAAAATTTCTAAAAGATTTTGCAACTTTAAGACATTTTTTCAATCTTGTGCTTTTAATGTCCCAAAATGCAACAAAATCAACTTTAAAACTAGTTAAAACAACTCAATCTAGTTTGTGACATGCAGGTGTACATTTTATGCACAACTATATCACAATTAATAGGCCTAAGGAGACATTAATTGGATATCACATAAATTGCTAACGTTATGTAATGTTTCAGTGAAGTGTTGCAAGTTTGACAGGAAAAATATGTATTCTTTCATTTTATCTATCGACAGTTTAAGTTTATACTATCTCCCAGCGCATAGCCAACGATATTGCGGCGTTTTTGTTTATTTGGATTGCCAATAAAAAGCACAAGACGTTGGCCGCGCTTTCATATGCCAACCGGCTTAGGTTGTTCTTCGGCTTCACCTCTCTATACGAACACGTATAATGCCCGCATCCATTATGTACGTGAACGGTACGAGCGTTTTGTTGAAGTTTTGTATTTTGCATTTACAAGGAGATCAATGTAAGACAAACTCGTACTTTGTAACAATTGTGAAATGTTTGCCGTGGAATGTTTCCTACCATTAAATGTATTTATTAAAATCTATTTATGTCTGAATCTAACGTTTCATAAATAATACGATATTTTTTCACTGCTGGATTTGTGGTGTAATATATAACAAAAACTATTTCATAAATCTGTTTCTCGACACCCAAAACAATAAACATCAATGTCCGTTAGAATGTTAGAAAACAGATGTTACATATTATCACATCTGCCATCTTTAAATTACAACCACGCAAGTAATTTGTTTTCGCTTCTTTTTTTCCCTTGTAGTCTTTTCCTTCGCCTGGAAGCAGCGTTCATGCATTTGTTTCGCCTCTTAGGTGCCCTTTGCTCATGGCAGTCAACTTTCACTCCGGCCTCCTACAAGATGGAAAAAGGATCGCCCGGTCTCGAAGGATTTCCTTCACACACACGAAGTCGGACAGCTTTATTATAACCCGAAATATTGCGTTAGTCTCAGTGGCTTTGCGACGCCAGTCCCGCATAAACTGCGCACGTTTTTTTGCCATCATTTTTCTTTCGCGCACGGCTTTAGTTTTAGCCTAAATATAAAATAAAAACGAGATGGTGCACGTGCCGAAATTTGTATTCCGCTCAAATGTTGGCCACCTAATTTTCGTTGTGCGGATGAAACATGGAATTAATGTAAAATTCGCGATGTTTCACGCGCTCTTTCCGGACGTTAACGGATGAATAATAATAACTCAGCACTCGACACGCGCTTATTTTACAACTTCTACTCGACGAGTTAATGAATTATTAAACGCCAGTGATGAAATTTTAATTTACAGCCAAAAAAGCGAGCATTTTTTGAAAATGTATAACCTTATGATTGTAATATACTGGGTTCGGATCAGCGGGGCGATAAAGCGTGTCAAAAGGGATGAAAAAGCGAGCACTCTCGATTTATTATTTATCGGACGCGATTCCTTAAACGTCGTGCCTTCGGTCCTTTTTTCGCGTCCTGTAAATTACGGTCGCCTTTAGTGTTTTACGTCGCGTTAAATAAATGAATGGTCTCTTATGGCGAAAAGGAGATTTTTCACCATTAACCTTGTAAACCCACAAGGGTTACCTTGATACGATGCTATAAAATATCAAGATTTTCTTCAATTTAGAAAATAACATCAAAAAATATTCTGATTTTGTTTGAAAGTTCAATTTTGTGCATTTAATGATCAATTATGTAAAATGCTATATTATTAAAGTTATCACAAGCGCGCAATAGCAAAACTCGTAAAATTTGCAGATAAAAATAAATGAGTTTTTAGCGTTTGTGATTTAAAGGCAATGCGACAAGAAGCCCGCCGAAAAGTTACGTCCAATTGTTTGAAAACGTGTAAAACTCGCGTTGTCGCAAGTTATTTCGTTCGCGAGTAAATCGGTAATAAAAATATGAAATTTCCCCGGCGCTGGTTTTTATAGTTTTGCTTTGATAAACTCGTCGTTGGCGTTGGCGCGTCGGTTTTAGTTTTAGTGTGTTGATACGGTCGAAATTTTCATATAAATTCTCGTGCCGGGCGCTCGTATAAATTCGAAGTGCGGCAATGGTTGGCGGCGGTGGCGGTGGTGCTGCCGGTAGTGCAGCACTGGTGCGTCTGACTGTGCGAGCACGTGTCCGACACCCCTCTGCACGGTACACGTGCGCGTCGCCACGGCAACGGGTCGATGTTTTAGCCATAAAGTTTTATGGGCCTCGTCGCAGACGCCGCCGCCGCACGCACCGCCGTCGCGACGCTGTTACGGCCGGCCGTTACTATTGCCGTATTGTTCGGGGGGGAACGCGCGTGAACCCCCGGTATACATGTGGGTGTGTGTGTGTGTTTGTGTGTATATGCGCTTTGCACGTCTATCCTCTGTGATTCAGCAGCGACAACGACCGGGCCCCGGCAGAAAAGCCAAGATATGTCTGCGCGCCGCTCGTAAAATCCACCCAGCGTTCGACAAAAACAACCACCCCGCATCGCCGGCCGCGAACGGAAAAGAAAACAGACATGGAAATCGCTTGATTAACGCAAACAATTGCCCACCGACAAAACACTCCCTGCAATTAGCCGTAAACCAACACAAAATTCGAAGCTTCAATATTTTCACAATCAGCTGTCACCAATAAGTAAAATTAAATATTTGACGAAAGCGACTTTTATCTCGAAATGGAATTGAATTAGGGGATATTTTTAACCGGCTTTTAAATACTCGAAAATATTCGTGTGATAAACAAATATTAGCCGAGACTTCAAACACACACAGAGAACACGCAGCATTTAACGACATAAAAGCATTTTTCTTCGGCGGCGCGGTTTTTGTTAGTTCGGAGCGTTTATTTATAAGAGCGAGACTATTTACCATTAAGTCGCCGCGGCGCGCATCGCCTCACACATCCTGTCTAAACACACTGTTTGTATATCTGTTAACTTCTTTGAGCACGCTGGAAAAGGGTTCCGAGGGAAGAGTAGTACACAGAAGCACGCAACCGGGCATGACACGGATCAGCGGCCCGCACAAAGCACAGCGAAACACACATTGCTGTGAACTGTGCTGTAAAACCCAAAACAGCAATACCTTCATTTGCAGCTTTTACAAAATTTCACGCCATAGGAATGTGAAAATTAAATTTTTATTCCAAAACCTGTAAAATATTCTTGGCTTGAAAATGAAACAAGTTGCGTTTAGCAGTTGCAAGTATTTGACTGATGTGTGTCTGAGGGGCTTATTAAAACAGCATAAAACATGTTGCTGGCTTTCAACATGGCTTCAAGCCTTGCGTGAATAAACTAACATGCGTGTACAGTGATGAGGCGTGGATTGAGACGCGTCCGCTGATTAAACACTTAAAAAACTGATTAATCTGGCATCGACGCCGAAGGAAAGCTATAAATACGCGTGCAACGCGTCAAAATTTTCAATTATTTATTTTCCTTCAGCGTAATATCTACAGCATGTTACATCGTTGCTTGTTTTACTTCGAAGAGATCAATATTTAGAACAAAAACGTCGTGTTTTATTTTTTGCTGTTTTAGGTGAAATTCCGGATATGTCCACAAATGTCACCCGGAAACTGTTTCCGGCTGCTGCGCGATTCGCAAGGAATCCAAGCGTCGCGTTTGGCATTCATAGTGGAGACTAGTCTGAATGCAAATTAGCATCTTAGTGGAAGTATTCCCTTAACCTTAGAATATCAATGCAGTGCGATAAAACCGACAGCAAAAAAGAGGTTCCTTTGGCGGGATTTGCATTCGCTACATTTTCAACAAACCGAAATATTCTAAAGATCTCTAAGGGTCAAAGACGAAAGTCAAAAGCATTTCTTTTATTTCGTTACTTCGCCAAACACACTTCTTGTTTATATTGCGAGGCGAAGAAAAAAAATCTTTTAACTTACAGTTACACTTACAGATTGGGCCCAAAGGTTCTACAAAAAGCAGAGCAACGTGTTTTCTTAAACGTGTTATCACCATAACTTTTCTTCACCCTGCGCTCGAGGTGTTCGCGCTGTGAAGAAGTAAAAGTCTGGTGGAACTATAAAGGGATTCACAACAGTAACATTTCTATCTCGGGCAAAAACGTATTACCACGCATTGCTTAGCGCAAATCCGAGACTAGGTATGCGTGTCTTCCTGTCTTCCTTCAGCGCCGGCTAAAACGCCCTCGCGCTGTTCAATATTGCGAAAGCAGGGCGTGTGAAAACACGACGTAAATTTCGGAAACTCTCTGGCACTTATTACCAATAAAGAGGAGAAGTGAGCGATAAAAGCGTTACGCGTAAAACTCTACGTCGGAATATTGCCAGCCGCACAGCAGCGGCAAATGTCCTCCAACTTAGAAATTGTGCGAAACAGTAATTTCGAATTAATCGAATTAATACAACATGCGCTCGCAGTAGAAGAAATCACAACAAATTTATCATCCGGAAAAAGAGTAAAAAGTTAATTACAAAATTACCAAACTCTAGGGTAGGAGAAATAATTAGTGCGTAGGTTTAATTCATCTGGCTCAGGCGCTTAGACTTACATTCCGTCAGGATTTGACGCCCTCTTGAAACAAGTTAATGCTTCAAACCCTCACGAATCATGATGAAACTCTAAGGGTAATCACAAGTTCAATGACGTCTCTCATTACGACATGGATCGTATTTAGACGGAAAATTTAACATAAATTAACGAAAAAAATACTAAATCACTTAAATTAAGCCAGAAAACAGCGAAAAAATGTTAATTA